CAACCTGTGTTCTTTCACATTCTGTCTTTGAATGAGTTTCTCTATTTAAAATGCTTATCCCTCCATCAGGACTCGGTTCAAATGTCATGTTGTAGACCCAGGCAAAGCATTTGAATGCCTTTAAGTGCCTAGGTTGTTGAAATGTAATTTTTGTTTTTGCATTATGCCTACTTTTATGTTAGCTCAGTCTATTGGGGGAGGCGTTCATGCTTTTTTTATCTTGGTGTTTTCAGACCTAACATGCTTTACACCAAAAAGGTTGTCTTCATACTAATGAATAAATGTTTTGGTGGTGAAACTTTAGCTAATAGCTAATGTTACATTTTTCATTTTTAGAAATGGGTTTAAATGAATCTCTAGTTTCTGTGATTAGATTGAAAGTTACCTCTTTGCTAGACCAGATATGTAACTTCTTCCCGTCCCTCCAATTTAATTCTGAGACTTGATTTAGTTTTCTTAAATGTTTTTCAGCAGTACTTGAGCATTACTTGAATGTTTTAGTGGGATAAAATCTGTATAATTGGTAATGGGTTCCATTAGCACTCTGCTTAAATAAGTCTATTTTTGTTTCTTGGATTTACTCGAAGGAAAACTGGTGGTTAGTTAACAATCAAGGCAACAGATAGCTATAGGAACCAGAGCAAGCTATAACCTCGGAGCCTGAAATTGCCTATCTATATGCCATATCAGCTCTTTGCTTTCTGTCACCCAATGTGGTCTCTTTTTCTTTGGGTTCGCCATGTAATTTCAGGGCACATGCTTGCCAACAGTTCTGAGCCACATTCTTAATGTGGGACCTAGTTAGAGAAGGGAGAAATGTTACTTCTAGCTTCAGTTTGAAAAATCTTGGGCAGGTATACATGGGCAAACTGATAAAGTCAAGTTGTGGCTTTGGTTAGTTTCCAACTCTGAGCTAATCACTGAGGCTGAAGGAACAAATTCTATGATTAGCCCTAAGTAATTGGTTTTTGGTGGCTGACAGATCACCCACACTATAATCACATGTTTGGAGTAAGGGAAAAGTATTTCCATGAAAGTAGGATAAGATGCATTATTGAATAGACAAAATGTCTGCTGCATAGAAGAACACATCTAAGAAGACTTTACTATGCTTTTTTCTCCTCTGCTAAGATATTTTTATATCTATTTGCTTGTGCTATGGACATAATAATGTATGACAATTATTATCTTAGAAGTAAATGCTGTTACCTAATTTAAAAACCTGTTTTGATCCTTAAAATAATTTAGGTCACTTTTTAATGTTCAATTTAAGTAGATTTTAGTACATAAATTAATTGGCCTGATTTCAGGTCTTTTGATTATTCAGAGGTGTCTTGGTCATGCAAAATAAGGCATTTAGAAACTAAGCAATGAGAACCTGCAGTTAATGGGAGTAAAGAGTTGAAATTCGCCCTAACCGGTTTGGCTCAGTGGATAGAGCAGTTTGGCTCAGTGGATAGAGCGTCGGCCTGCCGACTGAAGGGTCCCAGGTTCGATTCCGGTCAAGGGCGTGTACCTTGGTTGTGGGCACATCCCCAGTAGGGGGTGTGCAGAAGGCAGCTGATCGATGTTTCTCTCTCATCGATGTTTCTAACTCTATTCCCTCTCCCTTCTTCTCTGAAAAATAAAATAAAATATATTTTTTTAAAAAGTTGAAATTCATTGTTAACTAGCTGAAATTAGACCTTTACTCTAAAGGAGTGATAATGCCAACATATAAAGGCTTAGTGATTCATATATATCAGTGTGCAAAAAAACTGTAAGAAATATTTTCTTGATCTTAATTCTTAATTAAAATGTGTAACTTTCCAGTAGTATATTAATACAGTATTCTAGGTCAACTTATATATTCTTGAACGTTTATTTGTAACGAAGTTGTTTTAACATTACTATATTTTGTTAAAACAACTGTCATTGGTTTTTATTTAAAAATAACTGCTGGGTATTTTTCTTCAGGTATTTTTTAACAAGCTCATTATACTCAGAACATAATGTATTTATTCAGTACATAATTTGGGGTAGATCAATGTAAGAAACTCATTTTTTGTAATAATTGAATTCAAATGCTTACTGGACATTTTTAGGTAGAACCACATGAAATTAAGTTTCTAGGGAAAAGGAGCTTAGTGTGTCACTTCCTTGGGACCCCCTCCCTATGTGGGAGACTGTATTTGTTTCCCAATAAATTTCCACCTTTCCAAATAAAAAATTTTGCAGTTTCTGTTGTTTAAAAATGGTCAAATATTAGTACAGTGGGGCCTTGACTTACAAGTGTCCTGACTAACGAGTTTTTTGAGATACCAGCTGTCTGTCAGCCGATTTTTTGCTTTGAGTTGACAGAGTAATTTGAGTTAACGAGCTCCTTAATGAGCTCGGTCTCGGAACGAACTAAAGTCATAAGTCAAGGCCCCACTGTAATTTTATATGACTCAGGCTAATAGCATGGTTTCTTTAAAACCCCATCTACACATATTTCTTGAACTGCTGATCTTTTGTTATGGCAGTATAATTGCTAAACAACTGCATTATAGACAGCTAATCATAAAGATTCCTCACAGACAAAAGATTTAAGGACTAATGCTTTAATATGTAGCCTATTAATGAAGCAATATTGCTTATTAATAAACAAATTATGAGTGCCTACTCAGGATGGGTGGTATGCAAGTGGTCTGCTTGTTGGTGAGTACCTAGTACATCATACGCCAGGTTGTGTGCCAACGTGCTTTAACTCTCATTCATCTTCTCCAAACTTCTATACAAATAGACATTGCTATTTTAGAGATGATGAAATAAACCTAGGAAATAGTGGGTCTAGATTGGATTAAAAGTAAGACTTCAAAATGATACGCTATTCAAGGAGGACATGATGTTCTTATTTCAGGATGGTATGTTTGAGCATTTGAATTGGATGTGTAAGTGTTAGATCTTTATGTTCCTTAAGCAAAGAGGGAAGTAGGCTGCATAAGTTAGCTTCTGGTTTCTCTTCTTTTTAGTGGGCTAGTTACACAATAGAGTTTATTGTGTAAGTTTTAGAACATAGGAAAATTCTGGGTTCATATAAGACTATGCTTGATTCTTACAATAAAGTACATATATCTTGAGATGGTGTTAAAGTAGATTGCCATTATAATAAAAGTGGCTGATCATGGAATGCAAATAATTGTTAGATAAGACTTGATCTAACCTGTGAAAAAAATCATTTGCCCAATAATGGATAGTTGATTAATTCACGTTGCCAGTACACTTTTTACTCAATAAAACCAAACTAATACTTACTTCAGAATAAATTGATACTTTGTAAGTTGTTTCTTAAAAGTTGAAATATGGACGGTTTCTCTTAATCTATTGTTTAACCCTGAGATAAGAGTTCCTGTAACCCCTACTGATCAGAATCAAAAGTGTTTGGAATGAATTTATGTTAAACTTGAGAGTGTACTTATGTAGGAAGCATAAGGGTCTGGTCTGATATTATATCATCCTAGCATTGTGAATCCTGGGAACTTTCTGGCTGTCTTGATTACCTTATAAGCAGTTGTGGTGTGACTTTCAGAAGCAGATTAGCAGAGTGTATCAGAACAAATTTTTTCTAGGTTTTATTGAGATAATTAGCATAAAACATTGGTTTGTTGATGGACACATAATACTTTGGTTAATATATATTTTAAAATGACAATCACAAGGAAAATTCTTGACTGATTTTTTTTTAATGGAGTAAATCCAGACTTATCATTCCTGAACATTCTTTTGTTTTTATTCCTCACCTGAGGATATTTTTCCAAATATTTTTAGAGAGAGTGGAAGGAGGGAGGGGAGAGAGAAAGAGAGAAACATTGATGTATGAGGAAAATTGATTGGTTGCCTCCCACACATGGCTGACCAGGGCCAGGGATCAAGCCTGCAACTGAGGTATGTGCCCTTAACCAGAATGGAACCTGGGACCCTTCAGTCTGCGGGCCGACCCTCTATCCACTGAGTGAAACCGGCTAGGGTTAACCATTTGCTGAAGTGCATTTTGATCATATGATAAAGGCAAATATTTGTTCTAGTTGTCTTTAGTTCTCATTCATCTAAAAAAGCCCAGTGTTATCTTGTGGGCCTATCCTATGAGGATTTATATATAATACATATCATCTTAATTTTTTTTAAACCTAGTAGTGAACTTTATTCTCACTAGATAAACCACATTTGTTATGCACAAGTCATGGAAGGGCCACGTGCATATCTTTTGTAAATAAAAGGTCAGATGGAATTATGGAAACTGCGTGTTAGTTGCTAAGAGCAGAATTCTACCTAGAGAGGTAGGTTCTTCTGGAGTTGTAACTTTACTCAATTTGTTGTTTATTTTCCAAAACAATACTAAGTTGAGGGAATTAAGGAGATCAAACCAAAATTAGGCTTTTCAAGTGGAAAATGGGGTCTCGGTATAGTTTGATTCAGAAGAACAGAATTTAAGATAGTAAAAATGAGGGCCTCTGAGATGGTCTGGAAAATTCAGCACATGACATGAATCTTGAGAACTGCCTTATCTAGTTCTGAAGCTATGAAAATACCTGATTACAATTTTTTGGTTTGTAAAAGGACAGCTGTTCAGGTAATAAAAAATTTCATATTGCTGTCTATATATACTTTTGTGAACTCACCTAGCCAAGGTGGTTGTCTTGGATGTGTCCACTAAGTAACCATTTTCCTCTTCTAATAGATTATGTTTATTATTGTGAATAGTGGTTGTATGTTTCTAAAAGAATGAGGTGAAAATGAACTGGAAGCATTTGCTATTATATATCATCCTAGCATTGTGAATCCTGGGATCTTTCTGGCTGTCTTGATTACCTTATAAGCAGTTGTGGTGTGACTTTCAGAAGCAAATTAGCAGAGTGTATCAGAACAAATTTTTTCCAGGTTTTATTGAAAATGGGGTCTGGGTATAAGCAAATTGACTCTTTGCTTATTATAATTTGCTTATTATAATTTGCTTATTATAATTTTCTGCTTTGGTGTAGGAACTTAGTGATTTGGCCCGTGACCCTCCAGCACAGTGTTCTGCAGGTCCAGTTGGGGATGATAGTAAGTAACTTTCAAGTTGATTTTTATGGCTAATTTCATAAAAGCTTTACATTTTTAGATAACAAGAGTTTTTTTGTTTTGTTTTGATTTTAGTGTTTCATTGGCAAGCCACAATTATGGGACCTGTAAGTATTAACAATTTAAAATTTTGTGCTTAAAATTCAGCATCTATCTAGTTGTAATTTTTAACTTAGTCTTTACGTTTCTTGTATTACATTGTAATTCTGTTTTGAATATGCCATAGTTGTACTTTTCTTTTGAAAGAAAGAGTAATTTAATGAATTAGTCATTTGTTATGTATACTATGTGGGTGTCCCTGTGGTCTAGAGTATAGCATCTCTTAACCTACCAAATATCTCTTCACATCAATCTAGTTTTCTTTCATAGCAGTATAAAGCATTGTCACAGAGTTTCCTGTTATTTGTACAGCCAATTAATTAACTGGCTCTACCAGGGTGTTACTCAAAAGATTATTCAGTTAACATCCCCAAATCTAGTTTTAACTGTATTTTTATATTTGATTCTTTCTGGAACTTTTGGTATTACACAAAATTTGAATATTTTTAGGTAGAAAGAGATATTTTGAATACAGCAAAATTCCTTTCTATCCTGGGTAGATAAGAAACTGTATATGCTGGATAATTGAATATTCAGAATTATGGATACCATCTAAGAATTTCACAGAATTAGAACGCAGTAAAACATCCTGGGGTAAGACTGTATCTTGAACAATACTTAACACTTTTTTTTACGTGGAAGGCACTTTCAGATTTCTATTCTATTCTCTGTATGTCTTAACTGAACTTTCTGCTTTCTTCTCTTTTTGATGATTTAATCTCAACATAAATGGCAATAAGGTATTAGGGAAGATAATGGTCAATAAGTAGATGTTTATAATTCTAAAAGACCCTTGGAAAAGTTGGCCAATAGATGGGTTGGATCAAAAAATGTTTTTCAGCAGTTCTGATTTTGATAATTTCAATCTTTTTTTCTATCTCAGCCAATGTGAGCCCCCTGCCTGTGTGCTGTTATGGATACAATAGACACAATGCCTTTCAAGCTTTAAGAAATTTAAATGTACTGGGAGAGGCAGGCAATTAAAGCATGAGAAATAAGTAATACGTGACGTGCCTAGTAGGAGAAATGTAGGAGAAATAAATTGAGTTAGAGTAATTATGAAATGTTATGACCCTAGAGATAAAGAGATTAAGAATCAAATTAAATCAAACTTGGGGGATTGTATTTAGTTTAATTATTTGAATATATGTGAGTTATACTAATATCTAACAAATCAGGATTATTCATTCCCAATCTCAAGAGCAATTTTTACTGCTTTATTTTACTTTTAAAGTGATTCTTTCTGTCTGATTTGGTAACAAAATTGTTATATATATATTTTTCAATATACATAATTTACTAGTGGCTTTACCCACTTTGGTCCATGAAGTGTTTTAAAAGCTGACAATCTTCGCATTTAAAAAAACAAAACCCTGACTAGGCCCTCATTCCCACGAGCAAAAATGGCTTGGGACAGAGTGGCAGCTGGTTCCCTTTTTAATATGGGGTTTGTCATAGTTCTACCAGATTCACTTTATTTTGCCTACCTAGATAGAATCTGTAGGCACTTGAAATTGCAACTTCTAGAATTTTCCCATTTTAGATCACCCAATTTTCAAAGCAAAGAATTCAGTAAAACTCATTATCATATCTATCAAATTAAGCTCATCTTTGATCCAGAGGGTGCTCTGAGATAATTTCATTATAAAAATTAGTTGTCAGTATTAATACCTGAAAGAGTTGGTAATCAACTCTTTGGTGTGCATAATAAACCAACTCTTAAAACCAGTGTAATGTTTTTCTGCTTGAATTGAGATTTCACTTATTATTATTCTTTTCCAAAAGTAAGGAATATACCTATAGTAAAGTTAAAGTGAAACATAAATGAGTAGTTTATGCTAGTAATTTTTCAGTGAATAGAAGATAGAAAATTGCTTACCCTGACAATTTTTTAAGCTCTTTACTTTATTGCTTTTATTTGCAAAAAAATCTTCATTTTATATATTTTAGATTATGGCTATTCTTGCTAAATTATTTTTCAGGAGCTGTTTGTTAATCCTCACCCCAGAATTTTTTCCCCCCCTTGATTTTTAGGGAGTGGAAGGGAGTGAGGGGGAGAGAGAGGTAGAGAAACATCCTTGTGAGAGGAACACGTTGATTGGTTGCCTCCTCCTGCGAGCCCTGATCAGGTCAGGAATCAAACCTGCAACCGAGATACATGCCCTGGCTTCAGCAGCCTTTTAATATAATATTAGTGACTAGTTGTTTTCTGCGTTTAAAAGGACAGTAATTTGGTTTTCAGAACTATTTAAATATTCCCTGATTAACAAAAGCAAAATATTTAAATCACAATTACAGTTTTGCTTTGGTTGCATTATTTCCTGAAATGTACTTGTTTTCTAAGAGATTATTTCTTACTATTTGGATAATTTCAGGAAGTAGTCAAAGGTTACAAAAACTCACCCAAAATACCAATCTTGTCCTCTTTATAAGTAAGCACTGAAGTTTAAGTGCTGACTTGTAAGTAATTAATGATTATCATTGATAAAACAGCTCGTTATATTTTTGGCTTTTGATATCATCTTTATGTCAAAACATAATAATTTGATTAGGTAAATATACCTTATTTTGTTAGTACAGTGGGGCCTTGACTTACGAGTGTCCCGACTAATGAGTTTTTTGAGATCAGCTGTCTCTGCCGATTTTTTGCTTTGAGTTGACAGAGTAATTTGAGTTAAGGAGCTCCTTAACGAGCTCGGTCTCGGAACGAATTAAACTGGTAAGTCAAGGCCCCACTGTATGCCTACCCTATATGTGATACAGATGTGACCTAAAAGAACAGGGCTAGTGGTGACTTAACAACCCATAATTGCAGATTTGCTGGAAGAACAAATAGTAACAAAATTATTTTTGCTTGGAGTATTTTTTAGTTAAGTTAAAGTAATGACAGTGGCAAGGAACTCAAGATTTCGGACTTTCTAAGGAATAGAACATCTAATAAGTTTTAGTACAGAGTCACTGTTGAATTTTAGTGGTTTATAGTCAGGAAATGCTGTTGGTCATTAGAAGTTACGAGGCAAAAACGTTTGGTTCTAATTCAGCGGTTCTCAACCTGTGGGTCGAGACCCCTTTGGGGGTGGAACGACCCTTTCATAGGGGTCGCCTAAGACCATCGAAAACACATATATAATTACATATTGTTTTTGTGATTAATCACTGTGCTTTAATTATGTTCAATTTGTAACAATGAAAATACATCCTGCATATCAGATATTTACATTACAAGTCATAACTAGCAAAATTACAGTTATGAAGTACCAACGAAAATAATTTTATGGTTGGGGGTCACCACAAGATGAGGAAATGTATTAAAGGGTCGTAGCATTAGGAAGGTTGAGAACCATTGTTCTAATTATATGTGTTAGCATATTCTTTTTGAAGGTAACATAAAAAGTAAACCTTTGAAAGAATTAACAGAGCATTGCTTATTTAGGCAATTCTTAAAACTTTGGCTGGTAATTCCTATTAAGAATTGATGAGTTGAAAAATTAACTTGCCTATTGTTTCTGATATTTACATGCCTGATTTTTCTTTAATTGGAAATGGAGCTGTCAGAAAGATATTTTGAAATTATTTGGAAAACCACACTGACTTCTACCTAATCTATGATGAAGCCATAGAAGAAAGTACAGGCATACCTCAGAGGTATTGTGGGTTAGATTCCAGACTACCTCAATAAAGCTGATATCACAATAAAGTGAGTCTAATCTTTTTGCTGGTAAGCTGTCTTGGCTTCAATTTGTTTTAAAAAACAAAGTGACATCCCTGAAGTGTAGTAAAACGAGGTATGGCTGTACCATAACTGTGAATAATGTAACCATTGGTAGCCTGAGCAAAATCAGCCACGAAAACCATCTGAAATAATTGGGTCATTGGTATTTTATTAGTTCATATTCTATTTATATATTAGGTCATTTCTTGCAAAATCTAATGATACATAAAAACTCTTCCCTTCAGTACCTTACTCTTTAAGAAGCTTTGTAGCCCTAACCGGTTTAGCTCAATGGATAAAGCCTTGGCTTGCGGACTGAAGGGTCCCAGGTTCGATTCCGGTCAAGGGCATGTACCTTGGTTGCGGGCACATCCCCAGTAGGGGGTGTGCAGGAGGCAGCTGATCGATGTTTCTCTCTCATCGATGTTTCTAACTCTCTACCCCTCTCCCTTCCTCTCTATAAAAAAATCAATAAAATATATATATATATTTTAAAAAGAAGCTTTGTAGTCTAGTGGAAAAGGGAACTACAAGTAAATAAGTTACAAGAATGTTGGGCATAGTAACTGTAGAGATGGGGGTATAAGAGAAGGGCAGCCAGCAGATTGGACTACAGGAAGGCAGTATTTAGGTATGGTCCTGCAGATAAAGAAGATAAGGACATGTCAGAATATTTCAAGTAGGAGGTAAAGGAGATATGAAGCATACTTATTTATGTGCAGTAATGAGCATATTTTGATGGAAAATGAGGCTGACTTCGTTGGTGGGAACCAGATCATAAAGCACCTTGGGTGGTTTGTACTTTGAACTTTATCTTGAAAGCTGTACTAGATTTCAAGCAGAGTAATAACTTGTATCTTGTTTTTAAAATATATTTTATTGTTTTTTTACAGAGAGGAAGGGAGAGGGATAGAGTTAGAAACATCAATGGGAGAGAAACATCGATCAGCTGCCTCCTGCACACCCCCTACTGGGGATGTGCCTGCAACCAAGGTACATGCCCTTGACCGGAATCGAACCTGGGACCCTTCAGTCGGCAGGCCGACGCTCTATCCACTGAGCCAAACCGGTTAGGGCTATAACTTGTATCTTTAAAAGACTACTTCAGCAATAGGGCAAAGCTGTAGTGAAGGCAGGAATACCAGTGCCAAGTCATTGTCATAATGGTAGACAAAAGATGTAGAGCCCCATTTTCCATGGCAGGGGATATCTTCCAAGATCCCCAGAGGATGCCTGGAGCCATAGAAAGTGCCCAACCCTATATATACTATGTGTTTTCCTATGCATACATCCCTGTGATAAAAATTAATTTGTGAATTAGACATTTACAACAGTAATAAAAGAGAACAATTAGTACTAGAAGCCCGGTGCACAAAATTTGTGCAAGGGTAGGCCCTCCTTCCCCCAGCTGCCAGCACCGGCTTCCCTCTGGCACCCAGGACCCAGGCTTCCCTGGCAGCCCTGGCTTCGTCTGGAAGGACGTCCGGTCTAATTAGCATATTACGCTTTTATTATTATAGTGTAGAAAAACTATGTGGGTTTTCTCAAAATATCTTACTGTACTGTATTTACCTATTCCAGTAAAAGTGCTTTTGGCTTTACTTTGGCCTATACGAATTGCCAGTGTCACCACTTTTGCCCTTTGGGCCCTTAATTAAGTAAAACAGGTTACTTGAACACAAGTACCGAAATACTGTGACATATCTGATACTAAGTGACTAATGAGCATGAGATAAGCCTAGGTATGCTGGACAGAGAGGGATGCTTCATGTTATGGGTGGGATCGAGTGGGACAGCACACCTTAAGAACTGCATTCGTCCCTAGCCGATTTGGCTCGGTGGATAGAGCAATCGGCCTGCAGACTGAAGTGTTCCAGGTTCGATTCCTGCCAAGGGCACATGCCCAGCTTGCGGGCTCGATCCCCCAGTAAGGGGCGTGCAAGAGGCAGCCAGTCAATGGTTCTCTCTCATCATTGATGTTTCCCTCTCTCTCTCTTCCTTTCCCTTCCTCTCTGAAATCAATAAAAATATATTTTTTAAAATACTGCATGCAATTTAAAACAAGAATTGGTTATTTCTTGTCTTGAATTTTTCATTTAATATTTTCTGACTGGGTAACAAACTGCAGAAATGAAACCACAGCTAAGGGAAGGGATCACTGTAGTAAGATCTTGAGCTAAGGTAATAGGGGCAGTGGGCATGCCAAAGGAGAGTAGGATAATTCAAGAGATTTTAAGGCTCATTACAATTTGTAACTACTTTGAGGAGATGAGACAGTCAATGATGAGATCCTGATTTGTAACTACTATTGTCATTTCAGTTTTGGACATATGAGACATCTAAGTAGGAATATTTGTAGGCATTTGAATATATGTCCTGGAATGAAAAACATCAGAGCAAGACTCAAGAGTATGGGTCAGGAGATAAAAGCAGAAGATGGATCTGTGTGAATGTTAACATTTTAGGCTTGCCATAGTGGAAGAATATAGACACTGAGAAGGAGCAACGTGGACTGATAGGAGCAAAACCAGGGTAGAAGGTGTGGTGTCTAAAGCAGAGATTCAATATAAATCCTGGGTTTCTAAGATTTGGGTCAGTTTACTGATCAAAGTATTCCTTTTTTTTTTTCTTTGTTGTATTTTCTGTTTGACAATTTATGGTAAATTTGGTAGAGAATTTCGGGGTTTTTTGATGGCATAGCTTATTACTCTGAATCTTGTGGTTATACCAGTTTTTCCTCTTTGATTGTAGAATTTTAGTGTTACATTGTAACCTTGAAATATTTTCATTTCACAAATTTTTTTTTTTTTAACAAATGAAATGAAATTTGGCTTTGCCTAAATCTCATCATTAGATTGCCTTTTCAGAAGCAGTCAGATAATAGCATTTGACTGTGAAACTTGGAATGAAGGCTTAAAAAACTTTTGGACTTGGATTTTATAAGAACTTTTTAGGATTATCTTTAAATTGTTAATTGTATGCAGTATAGACTAGATAGTATGAAAAGGAAAGAGTTTGGAGTGCAAAAGACTCAGTTTAAATTGTTCTTTCATTTCCAATTTGCATGTTTCTTTGAACTTGATTTTTCATCAGTAAATTGATTTCTTTTAAACCCCAGGTATATCCTGTTCACTTTTCCTCTCTGTAACATATCTCATTGCATGTCTCTTTACCAGACTGTAAGTCCATCAAGATAAGAAATTGTTCTGTCTATCCCTTATACATGCCTCCTATATAGAAGGGAGTTAGATTAATTCAACTAGTACTTAATTATTTTACAGAGCGCTGTGGGTTAAATGAGCTATATTAAAGTGTCAGAACTATAGAAGTTTTTATTTGCCTAACACCCAGAATGGGCAAGTGAAAAAACTCATTTTACGCTATGTACATACTCTAGTCACTCTAAATTTTCAAATAACATCTTTGTCTATCCAAGGGCAATTAAGCAATTTTATATTTTCTATTACCTTAAAATCCTGACTCTGTCATCATTCTTTGATTGGTGTTGATCAGTGGTTTTCATAAGATCTGGATTTAAATCTTGGTTCTGTGATACATTATTTGTGCACTTGAGAATTTTAAATTCCTTCTTTAAGCCCCTCTTTATTCATCCATAAAATGGGGGACAATGATATCTTTTTCTTAGTATTGGTTAAATTAATGTAAAGTCCTAGCAAGTAGTTTCATGCACATGTTGCTTCATACTAATGTATGTAATATTTATTTGCTAAGGGAGTTCTTCACAATCAAATTCTAATAAGCAAAACAACAAAGGAGAAAGAATACTGCTATAACTTGAAAATTTGTTTTCTGTTGAAATGTAAGAACAAATCCACATTGTTTTCCAAATCTAGTAATCCTGTGAATTGATTTGCTGTGGAGAATTCAGTATGCTTTTGAAGAAAAAACTTCCATGGTGTTAAATGAGAAATTTGAGGGGCCAATTTGGAATTAAACTGTCTTTAAAAAACCTATTTATTTCTGTTCTGCTTCTAGTGAAGGTAGTTGTATGTTACCTGCAATAGCTAACATTTTGGTTTGCCCATGGCCAGGATGATACAAAACCATTTGTGTGTATATTACTATCATTCTACAAATGTAAGAATTTATTTTCAAATTATAGTTTGTTTAATAATATTGCATATTGACTTTATTGCTAAGTATACTTTTGTGAAAATCAAGACCTAGAACATTTGTTTCTGGATAAATTTTTAAATTCTTTGGTGACTTATGTAAAATGGGATTTAAGTAAATTAGCATTCATGGTTCTATAGTAAATTTTGATTGTTTTTCCTTGAATATGAGCTGGATTTTAGGTAATTTAGCCTTTTATTGCAGTGTAAGTAGTAGGTAATTTTGTTTTGTTATTAGAGAAATGCTTAGAAAATAGAAGTGTTACATTTGGATTATTTAACAGTAATGTTTTAAGTATCAGTTAAGCATATTTTTTTTTCCCACAGAATGACAGCCCATATCAAGGTGGTGTATTCTTTTTGACAATTCATTTTCCTACAGACTACCCCTTCAAACCACCTAAGGCAAGTATCTCTCCCCCCCCCCCCAAAAAAAAAATCTGTTAGTGTATAGATTTATATTTTATTTCAGAGGAATAGAGCATTCTTAATAATAGAGAACAGACTGACAGCTGTCAGGGGAGGAGGGTTATCTGGCTGGGTGAAAAAAAAAGGTGAAGGAATTAAGGAAAAAAAAAATCTTGTAGGCACAGACAACAGTATGATGATTACCAGAGGAAAGTGGGGATGGGAGGAGGTAGAAGAGAATATAGGAGGGATAAATGGTAATGGAAAGAGACTTGGGATGGTGAACACATAAGACAATATATAGATGTTGTATTATAGAATTGTACACCTGAAACTTAATATAATTTTATTAGCCACTGACACCCCAATAAATTCAATAAAAAAGGAAATTAGGGTTTTGCATAATTAAGGCTAAAATTGATTTATGTTATATATAATGGATAAGAATAATTGAGGCTGAATATATATATATATGTGTATATATATATATTAAATTGAGTCATTGATAAAGAATGCTGACTCTTAATCTTTAGTTAAAACAGAAGCTAGACCTGGATTTGAATTTTGTAAATGGAGGTAAGGAATACCTTATCTTTAATGTTGTCAGGCTCAAATATGCTATGTCGGATTCCCCCCCCCCCTTTGTTTTTATACAGATTTGGATTATTAATCCTACTATCTTGTAATAGTAGGTTTCTGGTGTTCAGTTACAGAATCCTTGTGCACATATTGCTGCAACTTATACTATCACTGTGTTGGAGTTTAGGCAGAGTATAATTACTTTGGGAATTTGAGTTTGCATGCATAACTAAATAACTATCAAAACTTAGAGTTGCTTAAGCACTGGCTGAGGTGGGCTGGTTTACAGGTGTCAAAACAGTTCCTTTACTTTTCAAAGCAGTTGACATAAATTCAATCTATGCAAATAACTATAGAAGATAATATACATATAGAACATTGACACTTCACTATGACCATCTTCATCATCATCTTATGGGTGCAATATGACATTTACTTTAGATGAAACACCTAGGTGATATTCAAAGGTGTATACTGTATTTTATGTACAGTGGAAATGCAAAGTCAAATCTATACCTTTGTAACTTGATAGCTTAAATTAGCTGGTCTATAAATTTTGGTTTACAATCAGCAATTTCTTTATTTTTTAATGAGTGTTAAAATAAAAATACCCTTCAAGTTACTCTTTGATACTTATGACATGGTAGGACCAAAGATAACCTTCGGAACATTCACTATACTGTTGAGACTACAGTGGAACCTCATTTCTTGAACATCTCCCATCTCGAACAATTCACTTCACAACATGATAACCCTTTCATGCTGATACCTGTATGATTAGTCACACATCTTTCAAGTTACAAAGAGAATATGCACTCAAATATGAGTTAAAATCTCAGGATATTATTTATACTGTGAATATTTGTGTGCTTTTTGCTTATAATTGTTAAATTTTCATTTATTGTACATTTCCTTTGTTAAATTTTCATTTATATTTCATGTCCTTGCTGGTTTTTTTAAGTATTTATAGATTAAACAGTACAATAGACATGTACTGTATATAATAAAGGTTAAAATGGAATCATTTGAGGCTCTGGGACATATTAATTTAATTTACATTATTTCTAACAGGAAAAAATGATTCTGTTTTCGAACAGCCTACCAGAATGAATTAATTCGAGAAACGAGGTTCCACTGTAATTCTCTTGCCCCAAAGTTATATTTTCCATTTTAATTAAAAAAGAGGGAACTCCTGAAGGATTTTTGATCAGAATATAAAAATCAGTTTCTATAATTTTTGGTCTTTTTATGTATATAAATTAGGTTTTAGCAATTTGATTTTTAAAAACTATGATAATATTTTAAGCCTTGCTAAAAGTCTTCTACAGAACCTCTACCTAAGTTAGGATGCTTGTTTTTATTTAGGAGAAATGCCTAAAGGTTTTTTATTTATTTTAGGTTGCATTTACAACAAGAATTTATCATCCAAATATTAACAGTAATGGCAGCATTTGTCTCGATATTCTAAGATCACAGTGGTCTCCTGCATTAACTATTTCTAAAGGTAAACTAAAGGAATTGTCTTGAACTGCTCTGATTTTCTAATAGTTAAAGGAGTTTTAGTTTTGCACCTACTTGTCTGCGTATTATGCTGACTTTGGTAAGAGATGGGGAAGGAATAAGTTACATCATCTTTACTCTTTTTGCATAATTGATTAAAGAGATTTGTGGGAAAAAGGTAAAATTCAAATTAGGGTGTTGGGGCATTGTTTTCAAATAATAAAAGCAAAGTGATTTCTGTAGTATTTTTCAATCTTAAACTACTTGTACTTCTCGCTTACTTACTTACTTGCTGTCTTTGAACTAAAATGGCATACCTGAATTTAATAGAGCTTTTAAATTTTGAGGTTTCCAGTACAAGATAATTTTGATTTTGCTGTTATGTGTTTATTATTTAAGATTAAAAAACATTTTGATAAACCTTTATTAAGCCCTTTAAAAAAAATTTAAGGTATGTGTTATGAGAACATGATAGTTTGTTACTACTTAATAACAGTCGAAAATTAGAGAATCTTCTTGGAAATCTCTCTAGATCAGTTCTGCTTTTCTACCTTTAATAGGGATTTATTATGTGACATCTCTAATAGGTTGTCTGGTCTTTGTATGAATATTCTAGATGGAGATATGGAGTATCTCTCCATCTTTATCTCCTTTTTTTATCTCACTTTTCACCCCACAGATAAAAATCACCTACCACAAAACTACTTTTAATGGGAAGGAAGTCTGCCTTCAAGTAATTTTCAGTTTTTGGTATTAGCTTAGCATTCCTTAGGTACACAAAATTAGGTTTTTAATGTTGTGAGTATGATAAATGCAAACTGAAACAGGATTTAAGACAGGATATCATAAATTTTTTCATATGTTTGTTTAATGCATTTGAATCTCCTTAAGGGGTAGTACAGGATTTCTCAAACTTTTGACTAGAATCACTTTTGGGGGAGAGAAGAACAATTTGCTCCCATAATTTTTTCAAGTGTGACCTAATTTTAAGACCTGTTTTCACCCTCTTGGAGGCATTTCCATTTTCTTTCAAGTTAGGCTCTCTTACCCACCTGGTACCTGGTATTTTGATTACCTTAAATAGTAGGTTCCAAGTTTTTTGCCATTGCTGGGAATGCACTATTATATTGAACATTATGTTTCTGTAAGTACAGGCTGAGTTTTATATCTGCTCTCTTGCACTTGGGTTTAAAATTATATTTTCTGTAATAATATATTACATTGATTTTTTTATGGTATTTTCTTTGTCTTCATCTAAAGATTGTCATACCCACTTCAAGTTTTTATATCTGAAAATTGCATAACACCTTGCACAATGTCTGGCACATCCTAGGCATTTAAAATGACAGATTCATGATGCTTGGCATCTTCCATGTTGAATAGGATAAGGGTAAGAGTTAGCATTGAAAGCTCATTTAGTAATAGACCACGGTGTTGTTTCATTTAGTCTGTACTTTTAGGTATGTGGCCTCTACCTTGTAAAGTCAAGGGAAGAAAACATATAGTCATTGGAGCAGTTAGGAGTTTTTGTGAAACTTCTTAAGGGGAGGGCAGGATAGAATGGATTTTTTTTTTTTTTAATTATACTGTACAGCTAAGAATAGTAGGGTATGGATGTTCCCCAAATATATTCTTATTAAAGCTGTTTTTCTCCCTCAGGACTAAGAAATTCTAGTGACTTAAATTCTAATGCCACCTAGTTAAAGAATAACAATGGCATTATTTGACTATCTTGGAACTCTGGAGTTTGGCAATATTTTTATAGCTAGTACTAAACCCAACAAAGCTCTATTTTTAGCATGTTTTTTTTTTTTTTTACCAGGACCTTGTCTCCTGTGAAGCAAAATATCTGTAAATATTTTTCTCATTAAGTTGAAGATATAAACTAATAAAAATCTTTTGAAGATTTAGGTTTATAATTGCTTTTGATTTCTAGTTTCATACTGTTGTGGTCAGAAAAGATGCTTTATAAAGTTTCAGTCTTGAATTAATTGAAACTTGTTTTATGGCCTACAGTGTACCTGTCCTAGAGAATGTTCCATGTACACTTAAAAAGAATGTGTGTTCTGCAGTTTTTAGATGAAATGTTCTTAAATATATGTTAAGATCATCTGGTGAAATGTGACATTTCAGGCCATTGTTTTCTTACTGATTTTCTGTCTGGATGATCTATCCTTTGATGTAAGTGGGTATAGTAATGTTTTTAAATGCACTTTTAAAAATTCAAAATCCCGATGCTGGGTAACCACATTTGTTTTCTTGCAGTTCTTTTATCCATTTGTTCACTGCTATGTGATCCAAACCCAGATGACCCCCTAGTGCCAGAGATTGCACGGATCTATAAAACAGACAGAGATAAGTAAGTATGTAGTAGTTTGTAATTTTTCTGAATGAGTTAGGTTTATACTCTGCTGTAAGTTGTGGCAATGCCAAGAAGACTTGATGCTAATTTCTGGTAAGATGATAGTCACTAGTAGGTTTTAGTTATGTGACAGTGAATAATAGCCCCTCTAAAATGTTTTATTTTCTAACATGTTCAACACTTTGTCACTTTAATTATTAAGTTTTGGGGAAGAAAGCAAATTCTTCACCACAATTATGTTTTGAAAATAATATTGGTACTATTTTAAAACTTTGGTCTAAATTTCTCAAATATCTGAACTATTTTTATGTACAACTTTACCATTATAATTTTTGTATTTATAATTAATACTAAGTATACTTGTTCAATTAGGTACAATAGGTTAGCAAGAGAGTGGACAGAGAAATACGCTATGTTGTAGGGTAAGAGGATCTGCACTCTATGGTGCGCTTATTCATGGTACTGCCAGCACTTGAGTGCTGCATGCTTTAAGGCACTGTATTAACTAACAAACGGTAACCAATGTGGCAGTTTTCTGAAAACGGTTCTTTAACTGCTTGATCTCTGTTTAGCGTGAAAGAATACCCAGTAGTTATTGCTTGAGAGTATTTTTGCATGACAAAGTAGTTATATAGCACTAGTAAGAAATGGAAATTTAAATAATAATCTTTCAAACCTCCATGGTGTTTACATTTTAAAATTGGTATATTTTAAACTTTGTACCAATAATGTATGGAATGTGATGATGTAGTTTAGATTTTGCTGAGATAGTAATGTAAGGGGGAAAACTTTTAATTAAGCCTATGCCTTTAATTAAGCCTATGCCTATAAACTAAATGTTCATTACTGACATGCATGCAGTAGTGTTAGCTCTACTTTGTGGCTCCCTATATGCTAAGTGAAACCTTTGTTTAAAAGTGCTGGCTTTTTGAGAGGGTATCCTTAAATAAAAGTAACCATGAATTGGTATAAAGAACTTCTATATGTTAAAGTTGAGAAAAGTGCTTGAACCATGTTTAGTTCTTGTTGAAATGAAGATAGTTAATACTTTATAAAGTTCAAAACTGTAAATATCTAAAAGTTCTGTCCCCTTTGACATATATTCATTTCTTTAGGTTATCATTATGTTTTTTGTTGCTAAGTAAGACTATGGAATGGGTGTAATGGAGAAATTGATGGCATTTATCAATATTAGTGATCTTCCTCAGCATAAATAACCTTGCTTTTGTGTGAATTACCTGTTGATTTTTTTTAAGCGAAGTTATTTCCAGTATTACCTAGAGATTCCAATTCATCAGGTCTCAAGTGAGGCTTGTTATCTCCAATCACCGCACTATTTGAAAATAACCCACGTGGTTCTAATTGACACATACCACTCACACCCACCTCTTGAAAACTACTCTTTTACCATCCTCTCCAATGTCTTAATCTTCTGCCTGTGCTTAAGTCTTAAAGGCATTTTCTGATATTACTCGGGGTCAAAATCTAGGATTCGAATAAAATGGTTTAATTAACTGTTTTGTTCTGGCTTTGATGGAAATTTCTATAGATGTACAGAATGTGTGTGCTGTTCTGACAACTCCACGATGAACTGTAAACTGTTTTAAATGTTAAAATTAGTTGGAATGGGTACTAATTGTAGATTTTCTATGAGAACATTAGCTCAGTTGGTAGGGCAGATAAAAGGTCTTTGATTTTTGTTAGCTTCCCCAATCTCAGTGCCACTTTGTTGTGTTTATTAAAATACTACGTTTAGTATTTTGGAGGCATAAGGTTCTTATTTTCCACAGTGCTTTGAATACCAATACTATTTCTCCCTGTTGGCTTTATTCTAATCACAGCCATTAGATGACTTTAAAAGGAGTCTGGAGGTAAAATAGAAGTCTTTCCCTTTTAAGTATTAATTCTTTAACTTTTTAAATAACATATTCTTTGTTTACAGGTACAACAGAATATCTCGGGAATGGACTCAGAAGTATGCCATGTGATGCTACCTTAAAGTCAGAATAACCTGCATTATAGCTGGAATAAACTTTAAATTACTGTTCCTTTTTTGATTTTCTTATCCGGCTGCTCCCCTATCAGACCTCATCTTTTTTAATTTTATTTTTTGTTTACCTCCCTCCATTCATTCACATGCTCATCTGAGAAGACTTAAGTTCTTCCAGCTTTGGACAATAACTGCTTTTAGAAACTGTAAAGTAGTTACAAGAGAACAGTTGCCCAAGATTCAGAATTTTTTTAAAAAATGGAGCATGTGTATTATGTGGCCAATGTCTTCACTCTAATTTGGTTATGAGACTAAAACCATTCCTCACTGCTCTAACATGCTGAAGAAATCATCTGAGGGGGAGGGAAATGGAGGCTCAGTTGTCGCATCCAAGGAAACAGCATTATTCTAGCAGCATCCATTCTTGTTTAAGCCTTCCACTGTTAGAGATCTGAGGTTACATGATATACTTTATGCTCATAACTGATGTGGCTGGAGAATTGGTATTGAATTTATAGCATCAGCAGAACAGAAAATGTGATGTATTTTATGCATGTCAATAAAGGAATGACCTGTTCTTGTTCTACAGAGAATGGAAATTGGAAGTCAAAACACCCTTTGTATTCCAAAATAGGGTCTCAAACATTTTGTAATTTTCATTTAAATTGTTAGGAGGCTTGGAGCTATTAGTTAATCTATCTTCCAATACACTGTTTAATATAGCACTGAATAAATGATGCAAGTTGTCAATGGATGAGTGATCAACTAATAGCTCTGCTAGTAATTGATTTATTTTTCTTCAATAAAGTTGCATAAACCAATGAGTTAGCTGCCTGGATTAATCAGTATGGGAAACAATCTTTTGTAAATGCAAAGCTGTTTTTGTATATACTGTTGGGATTTGCTTCATTGTTTGACATCAAATGATGATGTAAAGTTCAAAAGAGTGAATATTTTGCCATGTTCAGTTAAAAGTGCACAGTCTGTTACAGGTTGACACATTGATTGACCTGATTTATGCAGAATTAATAAGCTATTCAGATAGTGTAGCTTTAATATGCTGCACATGATACTGGCAACCCTGGAGTTCATAGATGGACTGGGGACCCAGCAGTTTTAAACATGTATATGGAGTTGAAGAAATTTATTTTCCAGGTGCAACCCCCATCTAACTAAATTTTTCTTCACCTTGTACACTTGACAGCTAAAAAAACCATAACATGGGAGTAATAATGGGTTTAAATTTACAAAATAAAGTACTGTTTGGTGTGGGAGTTGTCATGAGGCTATGTTGAAGTGACTTAACTATGTGGGATATTGAGTATCCATTGAAATGGGTTTGTTCAGCCATTTACATTAATGAGCATTTAAATGCAACAGATATCATTTCAGGTGACCTAACATGAATGAATAAAAGTCAATGCTATTGGATAATTTTTCGTTTGACAAGTGCTATGTGTGCCACTAATTTAACTTCTGTAGCAACAAGGGCATTATCATTCTTCACCCTTCCTAATTCTGACCATATAGTTTTACCCTTTTCCTAGTTATTTTGATTTGCCCATTGCTTTCTTAAAATCTGTATCCGATTTCTAGCACGTCTGACCTTTCTCCACTTCCACATTTTTGCACTGCTTACACTTATGTGCAATATTATTTCTTGTCTGCACACATGTGGAAAGCTAGATATAAAATAAATGTTAAAGCTTGATTTTTATAAACATTTTAATATGTAGTTTGGACATGATTTATTGACTGAGATTCTCTAAACTGGAAGTGAAATGCATGCCTTCCGAACATGTTCTGGCTTTGTTAATTCTGTAATAAGCATTTCATTGAGAAATATCAATCTAACGACAATTTTTTCCAGTGAGTGATTTTTTTAAATTTAATTTTTTTGCTTAAAAATTGATTCCTTAAGGGTAGGTGTCATACATTTAAAACTTTTGGATTCAAATTACAAATGAAAAGTTAACATACTGCTCTCTACAAGCTAAGATACACTGTCCTTTGGCTCTATTTTCAAAATATTTACTTTTGAGAATCTACTCTCAAAATAACAGCTTTAGTGGGCATATCATTATTTGAAAGCCAACCATCAAACACCTGCTGTTGGATCGCTAATTGGCTTTCAGATTGACCTTCTTAGCCATAGATAACTCTTAAGTACTTATAGAGATGACTTTCTTACACCATTGATTGTTTAACATTAGATGTGTCCAGTTCTCTGTATCTGACTTGATTTCTACAACATTTCTATGTCACTTCTAAAGGAATGAGCCATAAAGGCTTCTCCAGGCTTAAGAGAACAGTAAAGCACATACCTGGAAACCAACATTTTTGAGTGTATGGACACTGGACTTGAGATCATCTCCAATGAAACCTTTAAAAGAATCCAAGAATTTGCCCTTTTATTCCCATTTACGTTACTAGTGCCATGTGTAGGACTCACGTGAATATTGGCAGATTAAAAAATGATTTGGGTTCTTGTATATTTCCTATATCTTTTCATGCACAAACTCAAGTAGTTTCTGTAACCTATGAGAATTACAGTCCAGTGGACTTGCTAATAGTAAATTATATTGTGAGTGGACTCATTTTTGTTCCTGGGCAAGTTGGCAATGTGATACTCAGATTTTTTTTTTAGAAATTCTAGTTTGCTTTCTCGTGTGGGTGTACTCACAATTTTTTAAAGTATGAATCACAACTAGTGGTCTCAGGGGTAGTGAACACTCACTTTTTTTTTTAAAATGGCTTAGTTGAAATATGCTTCAGATACTTATGCTGTATTAGTGATTTGGGGGGTGACTCAAATTAGCCATGTTTTGTATTGGCATAACAAAGCTGTTAAATGATTGTTGGTTACACTTTTAGGTGAATTTGTCTTCTATTTTATGAGGAACCCAGTGCAAGTCACTAAATATTGTCTAGTAACATCTGCATAACACTTGTAATAGCTAAGGTTAATTGAGCTTAAAGGAATTGTTACCATTAAAGTCTGTTTAAAGACACTTTGGTCTTACTCAGTAATTCCAGTTAACATGAAATTCACACTTTAACCTAATATTGTTTGTAAATTCTGTTTTGAACTTAGAAATTAAAAGTATAAAGAATTTAAGATAGTGATTCTCAAAAAGTGATCCCAAAACCAGTAATACCAGTGTATCATCTGGGAATTTTTTTTTTAATCTTCCCCTGAGGATATGTTTCTATTGATTTGAGAGAGAAACATTGGTCAGTTGTCTCCTGCAGGAGCCCTGACAGGATTAAACCAGCAACCTTTTTGGTGCACAGGACAATACTCTAACCAAGCCACCCAGCCAGGGCCATTTGGGAAATTCTTTACAATGGAAATTTACTAGATGCCACTGCAGGACTATTACTGATTGAGAAACCATGGAGTGGCACCCAGTAGCCTGTTTTAAACCAAACAGATTAATTCTGAAGTTTGTTCCTAGCTCTCTCCTTTATAATAATTAAGTAATCCTTGGACCCTAGAGTTATTTTACAAATCCTATTTCATGGCTACAAGAACTTAGATTGTATGCCCAAGTAGTACATTTCCATATAATTGACAAATTTGTACTTTGAATTACAAATAATATTGTAGGCTGATTGACACATTTAAAATAATATACTGCAATTAATCTGAGTAACAAACATCCTGACATTCAAATTCATAACTAAGACCTTGGGGGAGCGGCAGGGCGGTATAAGTAATTCAACCAACGTCTGGATAGTGTTGAAAAAGAGCAACCAGGTACAAAAGTGCTAAATGTTGGTTATCTAGCTGAACAAGGATTTGAACCCTGGCCTCATTCTGTGGTTTTTACATCAATTTTTTTTTTTTTTAACTGCAAAAGTGAGTTGTCATGTTGGGGTGTTCGCAGTGTTACTGAAATTAACATTAAATATAGCTTAAGACAGTTGGTAAAACCTTTCAATGTAATGGGAAAAGTAAATGGTAAAGGTGTTCAGAAATGGGATTTAAAAGCATGGCAGCTTCTGCCCTGCCAAGTGATGGAGAAACTTAAAAAATCAAAACTATAGTTTTCTAGAAAGGCTAGAAAAGATTGAAGTTGGCTGAATACTTGTTTTCTTTAGGACTTTAATAATGACCACTTGCATTATTTTCTGCTAATCTGTAAGTACTTTGTTGCCTCATTTTGAAGAATTTTTTATAATTAACTCTAGAACAGTGCTTCTGATAATTATCTCCAAGTTGTACACTTTCTAGATGAACTTTTTATTTTGAGCCCTCTTGATTTTTTCGTGTATTGTAGGAAATGGTTTTATGAATAACACTTTCATTTTTACATTTTATTGTCTGAGACTTTGTGTAATCTCAATTCCTTGTTTATCATATCAAATTTAAATGTCAAGGCCAAACAGTGGGAGTACTTTTATGCTCTATTTACTTAACACAGTTAACCAACTGTCATTTGCTGACCTCCCAGCCGTCTCTCCTGAACTGCTACCTGAAAGGGTACCTTTTAGATATCTAAAGCTGACTTGATATCTACATACAGACATGTACACATGCATACCTGTTCTTGGCCTCAATAAATGACATTCAGTTGCACTGGCCCCAAAACTAGGCATCAACCTTGATTTCTCCACTCCTGTCAGTTCTACTAAATTTTATTCAGGACCTACCTGTTTACCATATTCACTGCTGCACAATGGTCTAAAGCTCCACCATCTCAGATTATTGCAATAGCTTACTGGGTGGTCTCCCAAATTCTTCCTTCACAGCAATCTACCACACATAACACCCGGCATAATCCTTTTAAACAATGTCATATCATCCCTTTGCTACAAACCTAATGGTTTCTCATCTCATTCAGAGTAATAGCCAAAATATTAATAGCAATTTACAGGCTGTATTGACTTCCCACCACTTAATTTCTAATCACTGCTTGCCTCCACACCTTCCCCAACTCCCTCAGCTGTCACACAGGCCTCTGCTGAGACTTGAGATGTTTGCCCTTGTTCTTCCCTTGCCTAGAATGATCTTAACCTTAGATATCATATGGCTATCTCCTAATTGTTAGGTCTCTGTTCAAATGTCAACTTAGAGTGGCTTTTGACTATCCTATAGCCTATATAATAAAAGGCATATGCAAATTAGCCTGGTCTGGGAATTTGACCAGGGGGTGGGGCTGGGCAGCCAACTGCCCACGGCCCCTCCCAACCGGCCCCAGCCCCCACCGGTCCCCCCAACCCCGTTTGGGGTGGGCTGGCCAGACCCCACCAGTGCATGAATTTGTGCACTGTGCCTCTACACTGTGTGGCCAGATTATTATGACCACCTGACGTTTGTAGGCAAATTAGCTATAATTTTGTGCTGAAGTTGCTAGAGGGCCAGATCATTATAAACGTCTGAATAGCACAACATACCTAAGTATCATTGCTGATCAAGTTCATCCTATCATGTTGATGGTGTATCCCAATGGAGATGACTTCTTCCAACAAGACAATGTGCCATGCCACGGTGCTCGCATTGTGCAGGAGTGGTTTCAAGAACATGAGGGAGACTTTACCTTGCTTAGGACGCCTCCACAATCACCAGATCACAATCCAATTGAGCATTTGTGGGACGAAGTTAAAAGAGCCATCAGGCAGCTGGTTCCACAACCATCAAATCTCACAGAACTGGACAGTGCTATTCATCAGGCATGGTGTCAGATTCCTCGCATCACCTTTCAACATCTCGTGGAGTCAATGCCAAGAAGAATCGCCGCAGTATTGAAGGCAAAAGGTGGCCCAACGAAGTACTGATGGGATGGTCACAATAATCTGGCCACCCAGTGTAGTTCTACAT